TTGTTGCAAGCAGGAATAAAGCACATCTAAAGCAGGACTGAATCAGGACTGAACCAGGTCTAAACCAGGACTGAAAAAGGACTAAACCGGGACTTATTTATTTTATGCTAAACTACAGTCAAATATGCTCGTTTTTTTTTTTTTTTTTTTTTTTTTTTAATCCTACGTACACGCAAATTTCTCAGTTTCGTTTTTAGCCGCTGCCGCTGTCAAACCACGAATCTGCACGCGGCGTGAAGAGAAAAAAAGTGAGAGAAAGAGAAAACACGGCTCCCAATAAGGATCAGGCTCCCGTCGTTCCCTTTAAAGAGCCAGTTCTAAGAGTCATTTCGTTCACGACGGACCCATAACTAGTAAAGAAAGTTGCGCTATTAGCCTTTAGCCGTAAATACGTGTGCGCCGCGGTAATTTATTATATGCGCAAATGTCATAATTCACACGTCTGTTCACAGCTCATTTACATATCAGTGCAGGTCCAGTAGCAAATATACGGCCAATATAGTCACTTTAGAACAGACCAATAGAAAACAGTCTGTTTATGTGCGGGAGCTACAGCAGCTAACCCATAACAAATGACAAAAACTAGCTTCAGAGTCGACATATTTCCAACACTCACCGCTCATACAGGCTCCTCCTCACATCACAAATCCGCACTAATAAATGTCCTTTTAATCCAGACTCAAACTGATGGTCCGTAAAAAGAATATAATCTCAGTGTTTGGATGTGTCTGCAGGTGTAAACAAACACACGTGAGTGACGCGACTCTGTGGTGTGTTCAGGGACAGTACGGACACACACTGACAAATGACTCCGTAGATAAATACTGATGTGGAGCCACATATTAGGACATTTATCTGTCTGTAAATTGGATTAAATGAACAGAATGTAGAGAGTCTAAGCTTTATAACGAGGTATAACATGCCCACGTGAAATATCGGCCCCTATCAGCAAGCATATCGGCCGATAGCCGACATGCATAAAGTTGCCCATATCAGCCGATAATATCGGCCAACCGATATATCGGTCAGGCTCTACTATATAGTGATATTTTTGCACTTTTGTGGCTAATTTGATAGTTCCTTCATGGTTTGATTGATACTCAAAATCGTCTTACTTGAAAATTGTCATCAGGATTATCCCGAAAAATATCAAAAATATTAATTTTTGAGTGACATTATTCAAGAATGTTTATAAAATAGATGATAACTGTTCTAATGTTGTAAATATTTATGCTTTATGAAACTGTATTCAATGAAAGACCATTAACTGAATGCAATGCGAGTGTGTTATTTAGTTAACTGCACACCATGCTGTTAAGTTCACTATATGACAAGGATTCATAACAGAGAGAGAAGGGTTATGTCCTGTGGTGTTGTATTGCTATATTTGAGAGATAACTCAGTTGCTGTTAATGATTATAAATTGATCTTTAAAAATATTTGTTTTAAATTAATTACACAGCTCCACCTCCATTTGTCAAGTCTATGCGCTTAACTCCTAATCTGTGACCTACTGAGATGCCAACAAATATATGCATCCCATATGAAATAACCTTTATTTAATCCAAATGATCATTACAGTACATATCTCACAAAGAATGATGTAATTGTATAAAGTATAAGGTTATACAGATTACACCTATGAAAGAGAGCTGTACAATATGTTACAACTGTGGTGACAAATTTACTAAAAAATGAAAAACCTCTCCCATGGTACTTTGCACAGCACTAGAAACTACTTATTATGGGGGCAGGCGAATGTGGAATAAGCAAAAAGCTTTTAAAGAACTAAAGAACTGCACACTGTGCCATTTGGACAGTTGAAGCACAGAATCATAGAAATGTATTATTTTTTATATGTTGCAGCCAGGGCACAAAAATATGGAATTATTTTTTCATGAATCAATCCGCAGGACAAAAATGAACACAGGTGGGGAATTGATTTAGACACAGGCTTGCGGATCCCCATCACTGTCACTGCAGGCAGTGGAAGGCTGGTCCCAATGATCTGCACTGCTCCTCTGTGGACATGTGGCTGCTAGGGCATTAATATTACACAATCACACCAACGGCTCGTTTAACTCCCATGAATTATTCACCCTTTCTTTGGCCCTCCCAGATATCCTGGGCTCTTCATTTAGGAAACCTGTTGTGATCCAAAAAGAACACAATATCAAAATAAGATGTTGGAAGCGCCACTTGGTGACATCCTGAATACCACTCTGTGAAAATCAGGAAATACACCAAAGTCACTCGGATAGACTTGAGTCCCAGTGACCAGGGACATGTTTCTGAGGAGACAACTGCTGTTTCCGTGGGAATATGAAGATCATCAAATGCAATCTTTGCCTTTGCCTTACTCCTTTTACATCCATAAATCCTATATAAACATAATATACAATGTTCCTAATAAATATCCCTGATGCTGTTCTGCTAAACTAAGATGCCACCAGGTCAAACTGTAAAGGGTAACCATAAGAATTCATGTTTTTCTAGGTATTTTTTTGTAATCAATCATATTAATAATTAAAATAATGGAAGACTGTGAAGTTTAATGCCATACTGTGGAACATTCCAGGCAAACCAATGAACTCTTCATCAAGAAAAACAGGTGGTGTCATCAAATGGAAGTTATTGTTCGTCATGACATAGAAAATTGTTTTACTTTCAAACCTTGACTGTGTGTATTTTCTATTGTGTAAAAATGTAATAGTTCTTTATCACTTCATCATTTATTTTTATTTACACTATACAGAATGTACAAACGTTGTTCATATTCCAGTAGCAGATCCCCTGTTTTTCCATCAAAGTCTCCATTTGAAGGGCATTTTGTAAACCCAGAGGCATCCTCCTGTTCCTCAGAGGCCCTCAGTGCAGGCACACACAGGAGCAGCAGCAGAGAGAGGCTGAGGGAAAAGCCTGTGTCTCAAAGCAGACCTCACACTGCGTTCTGTCACTACAGATCAAAATCCCCTCAAAGCCATAGATCACTTCCACTATAGTTCACATGTTCCACACTTAGAGACTGTTTACCAGCCTCTAAAAGGGTTCGGCACACTCACACACACTCTCTCTCTTTCTCTCTCTCTCAGACAGTTACATTGAGAAGAGAGAGGAGAGTAAAGCAGACATTACTAACCCAAAATACAGCATCCTATCCCATCCACTTAAACATTTATCCAGGTAGGAGAGGAAATGTTTACATCTATATGGCAAAACAGCACTCAGCCAGGCGCAGTGGAGACGTGGTATGGCAGCTCCCCTGTACAAGCGAGCTGATTGGTGTGACAAACAGAGAAGTGCCGGCTCCTTTTTCCACTGAAAATACCTGTCAGTGCCTGTCGACTTCTCAGGCACGCCATGATGTAGCGACATACACACAGCCAGGGACAGTCTGTCTCCCAAACTTTACTACAGCAGCCAGCAGCTAGGAGCCAGCGCTAAATAGCAACGTGTTTCAAGAGGATATACATTTTTATATTACTGCTTAAGTAGATGCAAGTGGATTTAGAGTTATCAGTCAAGTCATCTGTTTAATCAAAACCTTCAAAGTTTCTGAAATCACCATCCACGTACACAAATGTAAGTATAAGTTATATATATATAAGTTGAATGGACACAATTGGCCAGATATGGAATATTTTGCCTAAATAAATGAATAGTGGGGACAGTGGGGACAGGTGGGCATATAGGATGGGAAGTGCGTTCATTCACACAGTATTTAGGTGAAGGTTAAGCTGGCTTTTTTCTTGTAAATTGGCATGTATAGTAAAGGTGACACTAGCTGTTACTGAATTAGACCACTGAGTACAGCCTGCATCTAATTGTAAAGCATTCTGGGATGAGAGTGTGTTGGCTGTCCTTGGCTCGTCCCCCCTGCACTGCCATTTGAAAAAGCCGCTCTAAAGTTGTGCACACGGATACTAGTGGCATGCCAAAAAGTTTGTGGCATGGCAAAGTTTAGACCAGGAGTTCCCAAACTTTTCAGGCCGGAACCTCCAAGTAACCGTGTGACCGACCTGGGACCCTGACAGCAAAATGAAATTGAATATCTGTCATAATTTCAAGTAGCAGTACATTTAAAATCAGGTTGTGTTTATGTGACTAGGTTGTTCCCCTAATTCCACTACAATGTACTGTTTTCAAAAAAAAAAAAAAATCCTAATTATAAAATTACATCTTCAAAGCCAGCTCACAATCCCCAGTTTCATGCCAACTTAGGGAACCACTGATTTAAACCAATCTCCTCCTTAAATAAATGTGTGATAAATGTTATAGTGTACCATGTTTACCGGTAGAATTTGTCTGCTGCTTCTTACTGACAAGGTTTAAGAGAAAAGTTGAAATGGCTGGATAGGTGAAGCAATACTGTCAAAATGAATATGGAAGCCTTAATCAGATATAGCAAAACAAGCCTCTGAAGGGTTCTTCAGCTGCTTTTACCAATAACACACTATATTTACACCACACAGCTACTGTTCAGACCATAACTTTTCAAAACTCCAAAAGTGTAAGCAAGCAGTTTTAGCTTAACCACCCGCACTGTGAAGGAAAAGCTGTCTTTGGAAAGTCCTCTGCTTGAAAAAGAGAGAGAGAGAGAGCGACGTCCCCCTCCATGTGAGATAAGGAGCCGATGAGAGAGCCCGATAAAGTCAGTGCTTCTCCTGGGCCTTATCTGATGCTGTTATCTGACTGCACAGCGCCCACCATCGCGCCATCTTTACACCCTTTAAGCACCTCTCTGAAACACTCACACCATCAGCCCATCAGCAGTGCCCAGACAGAGCGCGCTAACGCCAGACAAGCTAATGCTCAAAAACATTCTAAACACCCAACCAGCTTATTGATTACTCCGACACGCTCCCATTGTCCAACAGATGGCACACCTAATATCATGTGAAATGGAACTGTTCTGTGGTAGCTCATGGGGAAAGGACATCCAATCACTGTTTTCCCACCTTTCACAAAAAATATAGGGGGAAAAAAGGTTGTGTGCTTACCTCTATGTCTGTTAGTAGTCTTATCAAACATTAGCATGGCGTCATCGACCTGAAAGAAAGAAGAGAAGTACCAGTGTTAGCATTAGCTTAGTTAGCAAGGAGATCACGTAATATTCTCACCACTGACTGATGCCATTCGTATTCTAGTCACTGTAATTACCCATGGATTATACATTCCTATGATATAGTTTTTCTTTCTCGGCATGTCGCTTTTATGCAGTCATGGTGAGGACACAGTTTTTTTCTTTTTTTAAAATATTATTATTACCTTCATTGCTTTGAGAATATAGATGCAAGACTAAGAACTGCAACTCAAATAACAGATCTATATGTAAAGTTCCCATATGGCACACATATCTAAATAATTGTTTTGCCAAATAAACTGGCATTGTTATAACACATTTGCACAAAAAGTGTTTTCTTTTTTTTTCCTCATTAGATAGGGTATACAATACTAACTCTAGCCACAAGAGGTCAGTAGAAAAAATGCTTTAACAGATAATGAGTTCTGTCAAAGAGTAATAACTTTTAAGATTTCCATGTGTTCCCATGTATATACACTGTACAATACAACAGCCTCTGAAAACCAAATAAAAACTGAGAAGCAAACTAAACTTAAATATATCCTGATACATTATATGTGCTTTTCTTTTCTTCATTTTAGCATAGGTAATATACACATAGAAATAACTATGTGTCATAGATATGAACAAACACAGATGTCCGTCCTCAGCCGAAGTGACAGATAGACACATTACAATAAGTGAGCGTGAGACAAATGGGATCTCTCCCTCATCTCTGTGCTGCCACCGCTGCTGCTGCATCCCCCATAATATCATCCCTCATCATGTCCAATAAAGCCACACACAGACAGACAACAGCTTTCCTCTCACCCACCTCAGAAAAACACATCTCTAGAGGCACTCTGCTTTTGTTACTCTATAGAAATCCCTAAAATCGTGAGTAAGGTTGGCCCACTTAGCCTGTGGTTTAGTCCGCGGAGAATAATAAAAAGTACATAGAAGTGGAACGGCAGCAGACAGAGACAAGAGGGGGAACACTGTGCACTCTTCGCTCGGTGGTTATGGTCTCTAGGTAAGGCTGCATGCAGTACAGGGAAGAAGCATCCACGCGAAGAGGAGCCTGTGAGACAAAACTCTGGGCGAGGGGAGGAGGAGGAGAAGAATAGGGGTCTCGCTCCATTCGAAACGTCTGATTGGATAAAAAGAAGTGTCTGGCAGCCGGGCAGACTTGCACTGGCACATGGTTTGGTGGCACACATTTTGGCACAGGAGACGCCGGCGCAGCTTGGAGAGCCCAGTTACTCAGTGCACGGCTCACAGGCCACAGCTCAAAGGCACTCCACTTGCACTTCACAATAACATTTCACAAAAAATGTCCAAATATTGCTCCTAGTTACACCGATTCAAAACCCATATACAAGCACTAAGGGACAGTAAGGGTTGGTAATATAATTCTAATTACTATTTTTTGGCTTCTCGTGGTTATGGCAACAGGCGCATTGTCACGAAATGATGATTGTGTCGCACGTTGTGTTGACACGTTTTTGCAGTGGGCCAAAAAGTCACCATAACAACACAGTGCCTCTGCCTTGTGTAATGTGAGGCTTTTAAAAACATTGTGGCACTGATAGCACTGCAACAGCACCAGTAAATGATTTTACTGCAGAAATTGGCGAGTATTCACCTATTTCCCCTTCACCATGCGCTGGAACTAATTATATTGCAGAGGTTAAAGGCAGGCCAAATGACAGGCTTAGCAAATGCACAACAGTGTGGACTAAATTATTACTGCTTATTTTCAATTTATATGTAGAATGGAAGCTGGTGTACTACTAGTGAGTTAGCCAAAAATGTGTACGCAGTGATTTCATGAATGAAGAATGATTAAAGCAGCAAATGTTGACACAAACTACTAGTACAAGTAAAAGACCAGTCGAACACAAATGTCATCCGGTAGTAGGTCTGTCACAATTATAATCAATCAACTATGTATGAACAATATTTTGGGAGATAAATATTTACTGAGTGTCTTGGCACCTTGTCTCATGTATTTGGTAGTAGTAGGAGGAGAGCAAAACACTATAAATCAGATCACAGCCATGAAAGAGCTAGAAGAGCAGAGCCAGGAGGAGGTTCAGACCATTAAGGAGGACTGCAAAACATCTGAAGAGACAAAGATGTTTTGGACAAGAACTGGAGGAGCTCAGGAAAATGAAATGGACCAGAATAATTTGAAAAACATTAAACTGCATTAGAAATACTTACTCATCAGTGGCATGGAGAAGGAGATTGAGAATCACCAGGGGGAGGTCAAAGCTATGATGAACATTTTAGAGCACTGATAAAGAGAAACTGCCACTCCTGGACAATAAGAGATTATACATACTCAGTGATAGAGTCGGAACAGAAGAAGATGGAGGAGTTGAGATGGAACTAAAAAAAGAAAGAAAGAACTACAAGAGGGAAGTGTCCACAGCCGAGATGAAGGAGCAGAACGTAAAGAACCAAGAAGAGGTGATGAAGACAAAGAAAGATGAGTCTATTCAAAAATCTATGCGAAAGGTCAGGATGAATGATATGAAGGAGCCAAGATGTCAGATGAACCTAAAATATGCAGGACTGGAGATGGAACTGTTCACAGTAGAAAAGGAGCTGGAGGAGCAGGGGCTAAGACAAAAGGAGGTTCAGAGCATGAAGGACATTATAGAGAACCTTTGAAGTGAAAGAGAGAGTGCCAAAGACCTCCACGGAGATAGAAGGGGACAAGAGGCAGCTCCACAGAAGGCAGACCATATTCTTGCTCAGATTCCTCAAATTCAGATGATAAAAAAAGAGAAAGTTCTAACCAAGCCTGGGGACAAGGGTCAAAAGTAGCAGGCAGGAGGACATTAAACATTAGACCTTACCTCCGAACTTGGACCTCTTTACTACATGACTGATTGATTGATTTGAGTGTAGGGATAGAACAAAAAACAATAATATAATTTACTGTGACAAGAAAGTAAAACAATAATCGTTCGTGGGACATTTTATATAAACATAAGAATCACCAACAAAGATAATCACCATTATATCACGAAGAAAAAGCTACTTATCCAATTTTTCTCATAACTGCGATACCAAATTTCAATATTGTCACTTGCCCATTTGAATGTTCATGTATTTTATTGACCTTATTCATAGTATTTACATTTATTATTGTCACTATTTTGGGTGTTGAGTGTCTTGCTGTTATTTGGTGTTAGTATATCTATTTTTTTTTTATTTTTTGTCCTCTACCTCCTAAAGAATTGCAAAAGAGAACTATGTATTTAGTATATAATGGTAAAAGAAGTATTCACAAAAAACTTTCAGTTGGTATTATCCAGTTGAATTCAAAGCAATAGTTACATGCATGTGGGCAGCAACAGCACCGGTACAGTGAGCCACAAAAGCCAAAGCTGTAGGTGGTGATACTATGTACAGCAAGAGGATGTCTACATTGTTTGCCCAGACAGCATAATTTTAGACATTATTTGGGCAAAATTAATCAGGATATCAAACCAAGATAGCAGATGAATGTAGACCCTTGATTCTACATGGCAAATGCTAAGTAATTAAAGAATCCACTCACTTCAATGATGTAATCCACTTCATTTGGTGCATTTATTTTGGAATTATGTTAACAAAAAATGTATTTTAATTTACATTGTTCACTAAACTCTTCTTACCGATACAATTACCAACTTTGCTTATACATTGCTGATTGACAAACATATCAACTAACCACAGCGGCCCAAACAGCCTTCTTAACCATAAAAAACAAACTTGTATTTCAGCAGTAGGCTTGGTATAAAGAAAATGTCTTGTAAAAGGCAGTGTATCCTGTATTAGCAGCTTACAAGAGGAACAACCAAGAGCAAAAGGCAGCATAAAATTACATTTGGAGAGATGTGTGTTGTAAGTTAAGACAAGAACATTGCGTACAACAATAAACTGTCACACAATATTACCAGCTATAACTATTTTGTAACTTAGTAATGTCTCATAACTGGCTGCACCATAGTGGACTGTTTATAGAAAATCCAATTAAGTTGAAAGGAGAGTAGATAACTGGTATTTGTAGTTCGGTGAGCTTTAGCCTTATTGGAACAGGAACAGTTAATCTTATGAATCATTTGACATGCCCTGGAGTTAGTTTGAGAGAAAACTTTTGCTCCAAGATCCTTCCTGACATCAAACCAGGAACAGTTAATAAAGAACACAGTGAAAGCTCTGGGGCAGAGATGGAGCACCATGTTTACCATCTATGGCCAACGCTTCATTTGACAAGCATGGCTGACAGAGTGTGATCATTTACATGCACAACGGAAAATTTGAGACATTAAACTGCTGTCCAATGATGTTAGATATTTTAGGAGAGCCAAAAGGAATGTCTGCTTGCATTAATGTGAGTAAAAAGCAGCGCTAAAATAGCCTGCAGGAGGTGAAAATCTCTGAGTTTCATTAGAAGTGTTTTGGAAAGGCTACTCTGTTATGCAAGACTAAGATGAAAAGTTATCAACATGTAAAAGGAGACATGAGGGAAACTGAATGTCCCGCTGATATGTCCCCCAAATGTCACAGTAACAGGTCATAGTCTGAAATAAAAGGAGTATAGAGTCAACCTGAGTATCCACTGACACCTCACAAATTTCCTAATATATGTTTCAAATGGTTTTGGTAGATGTAGAATATTGTCAGCCCATTCATCAGGCTGGAGATTATCTCAATCTCTTTTGGCTTAAAGTGGAGGAGACCCTGGACAATGGTAACTAACATGGTTAGATCTCACTCACAAATAATCACACATAAAATCAACATTAGCTCTAACCATGCTTTTTCAAATCGTTGGAATATGACAGATGGAATTACAAATCAAGACAAAAATGTTGCACTCCAGACTTGACAGACTTTCAATATTGTTTTACCAATGACTTAAAGCAGCTGCTTTGAGTCGTGCAATATTAGAGCAGAGGAGACAGCAGTGAGCCCTTCATAATATGAC